TGTCCACCCTACTTTGTTGAGCTGTGTCTGAGAGTAAGCATCTAAGACACAGAGATTGGTCTTTCCTCAACTGGAACAAACACCAAAGAAGGAAACTGTGGACTTACAGAAAAAAATCAGTTAACAGGACCGTCTACATCAGGGATCAGCATACTTTTGAGATGCGAGAGCCAATCTTGTCCCTCACAACAACTTAAAAATTAGTTGAGAACCACAAATATATTTTTACAAGCAAGTGAAATCATCATTAGCTGAATAATATCCTTTAAATTTTTTTCACTTTTCCTTCAGAGCCACATGTAGCCGCATAGGACTCTTGAGCCAAGGTTTGCCCATCCCAGGTCTACATGAACGTCAGCCTCATCTAGCTTAAGACCAGAACTACATGGTGCCCAACTACCTCTATCCATTACTTTGTGGAGGGACAAAAATGACAGGACTCCGGTGTGATGGGAGAAAAATGTGGAATGGAACCTCAAATGGACCTCTGTGGCCAACTCTAAGAATTTTGCCCTGAGATGCTTTCTATGCTTTAAACTCACCCTTAAGGACATCATTTAGCTAAATAAGCAAATTAGGTTGTGTGTTAAATCCATCTCCTTTGAGAGACTAGAGGACTGATAAGAAGTTTGTACACCACAAGAAAAACCAAACTCATTGCCACTGATGGAGAACGGAAAACAAAAGAGGGCAGGGTGAAGTGTAAGCTACTGAGATGTTTCATACATAGGTTAAGTGTGAATACAAAACTGATTGCCTGGAACAAAAACACCACAGGAGCATGGGGGTTAAGTATTGGGCTGCTAAACCTAAGGGCAGCACTGTGAAATCAGCCCCTCCAAGGGTGAAAGACAGGGCTTTCTACTCCCCCAAAATGTAAACTCCCCACCTAATGCACAATAAAAAGTTTAAGGAAAAAGGGAGATTAATCAAGCAAACACATCACTTGATTAATTGGAGAAAACAGATTAATCAAGCAAACAGGTGACTTGCTTAATGGGAGA